CATGTGGCAACTTTATTAAGAGATGGACAAGTTTTGGTTACCGGTGGAAACATAGGTACTCTTGGTACTACAAACAAGGTTGAACTGTATGATCCAGCATCAGAAATGTGGACACTTACAACTAGTATGCAGCAGTCACGAGAAGGACACACTTCATCCTTATTACCAAATAACAAAGTGTTAATTACTGGTGGAAAGAGTACTAGTAGTAGTATTGATTCTAGTAGCGCTGAGTTATATAATCCCCAAACAAAAACTTGGTCATATATTGATAGCATGAAATATACACGACATTATCACACAGCATCCGTATTACCAAATGGAAAAGTATTAGTTACAGGTGGATACAGTAGCGCTAGTATTCAAAATGCTGCAGAGTTATATGATCCATATACAGACATTTGGACAACTACCGGTAGCATGAACGAATCACGACATTATCACACATCAACCGTATTATTAAATGGAAAAGTGTTAGTTACTGGAGGATTGGGTAAGGCTTATTATAAGAGTGCTGAGTTATATGATCCAGAAACAGAAACATGGACAATGACAGGTAGTATGAACCAAGCACGACATTATCACACAGCATCCTTGTTGAAAAATGGAAAAGTATTGGTTACAGGTGGATGGGATGGTACGAGATATCATAACAGTACTGAGCTATATGATCCATCAACAGAAACATGGTCAGTTACTGGTAGTATGCATTATTCGCGAAGTAGACATGCAGCATCCGTATTACCTAATGGACAAGTAGTAGTTACTGGTGGATCTGGCAGTGAGACTCAAAATCGAGTTGAATTTTATGATCCATCAACAGGAATTTGGACAACAACTTATGAAAGAATGAATTATGCACGACATTCTCATACAGCAACCATATTAGAAAACGGAAAATTGTTAGTTGCTGGAGGAACCAGTACTGTCCTTTTGAAAAGTGCTGAATTATATTAATGATTTAAAATAAATAAAAAGTATAAGTGATTTCTATCTTTCATAAGATAAATATCACTCTTGACTGCTATAATTTAATAATTCTATTTCTGTCATATCACTCTAAAAAATACGGTTTCATACAAAACCTCTTCGACTTCTAGATTTGGCTTTCACTTCTGATTCTTTCAAGTTTCTAGCAAAATATGATTCTGTTTCAAACCTTTATTTTAGCAATTAAAACTTCACTAAAATATGTATTTACTAATCTAACATTATTGAGTACTAATTCTTTTTGTTTCATTTTGTAATAGTTTTATTAAAATATAAGTAAAGAAAGTATACAAAATAGTTTATGAATTGTTTTTTTTAGTGTACGTATATTGAATGAGTGTTTTATTCTTCGTATCATTGAGTATAGCATCAACTTGTTCTTCAATACAATCGATCATATTAGGTCGATGAGGTTTCCATCCTAGTTTATCTAATCGTTCGGCTTTTGAATTTGATTGACATCCTAAAACCCAACTAAATGGACCAAATAATGCACTTTCTATTTCATCATCTGGAAAACTTGTAACAGTAGGTGACTGAAGAATACCTCTCTTATAAAGAATTTCACCAATTTTTTCTGATACTTCTTTTCCTGAAACTTGTCCATCTACAGTAAAATAATAACCTTCACGTCCTGTAGTTAAATACGGACTAGATTTTACATCAGATTTTGCATTAGGTCCATAAACAGCAAGAAGTTGATCAAGAAGAAGAATATATGCATCAACTAAATCACCAATATGACTATAACCCCATTTTGATTCACCTGGTCCTATCATTTCTATTTTGCCACGTTTTAAAGCAGCTCGAATTAATGATCCAATTGTTTCAGAATCTCGATGAAATAATCCTGTACCAATACCATAAATAGCAGGTGGAAGAACGATAACACTCTTCAATAAAGGATTAGCTTGTGCTGCATTAATTATTAACAAATCAACATCACGATGCCATTGATCATCAGCTATACTATTAATTTTATTTGGATCAAGATCACTATAAATTGAATTTGATCCTTTTTTACCACGAACATCTTCAGAAATAACAGCAGTACCACTTGTATGAATATAAATAACTGGTTTTCCATTTGCTTGTGTTCGTTTATTTAAACCACTAAGAATAGATTTAACTGATGGAATATCATCAGCAGAATTTGATGTATGAATAACAACATGTGATTCACTTGCTGCTTTCTCAAGAATATCATGTGATTCATTTGTACCAATTAATGGAATAACACCAAGTGATGCAATTTTATTCACTCGACTTTCATCACCACGAATTAGAGCAGTTATTTTGAAATTTGAAACATTTGGATGTTGAAGAAGACCAGTTAAAATGCTACCACCGATATAACCAGTTGCACCAGTTAAGAAAATGTTAATTTGCTTGGAAGACATTTTATATATGCTGAAATGTAAAAAAAATGCTTCTATTTATATAAGAAATATATATATGCATATGTAGTGATGACTAAGCAAAAAAAATCACGAATAAGATGGAAGAACAAACGAAATATATTATCTTAATGACAAGGCATAAATAAAGAGAAAATGCAACGTCACTGTTCTCTTGCTTTTCTTTTCTTTTCTGTACAAACGTGTAATATCCTCTCTTTTCGTTATGCTTCGTCATATATATTGTATACCTAGATGACAATGTATTTTACATTAAAATGTGTTTCAATAATATTTTTATTATCAAAGAACTTTTAATAGATAATTCTCATATGACTGTGATGGGTGTGGGTGAAAGGTCAAAAAAACATTGAAAATCAATTTTTCACGGTTTTCACTTTGTTTTTCCAGTAAATCTGAAGAAAATACATTTCTACGAGAAAGAGCTGAGCGAATCCTCAGACGAGCGTTACTTGTTTTACATAATATTTATCCTTATGTTAATAGAATATGTTATAAACATAATTGTCAAGAACATTTGATATTAAATTATTGAACTACTTTGTATTGTTTTGAATATAAATAATATTTTACTTAAAAAACAAATCTTCAAGGCTTTCTACTCAGTCCATTATGAAGATTTTTTTATTTATTCATTTATTTATTTCAGTTTTAGAAATTCCCCAAATATTAAGACAAAGATAAAGAATGAATAATTTCTTTCTTTTAACATCATCCAATTCGTCTTTTCTTTCGTTTCATTGTATTAATAGAGGATATAGAACAATCGAACGATAAATTCATGTATGTCTCCGTTTCCATCAGATAAATGTTGGAGATCTGTATCCACAAGTAAAATAAAATAAAGAATACATGTACACTTTTATGGAAGACGACTGGCTAGTTATTTATATCACTAATACATTTATATCGTTTCCACACAGATATACTTCATTAACTTTTTTTAAATTAAGAATAATTATGTAGTATTTTGTAAGTTTTAGATTAAAATGCCTCATACCTGTTCGTGTGGAGCTGTTTATGAGCATCGCACGCAAATGTACGTATAAAAATTGTATCATCCATAAGTTTCTATCTCTTCTCATTGCAGGACAGGCTGTCTTAAACTCCATGGGAACTTAAGACAGACTGACGCACAAAATGAAGTTCCACAAATTTCAGTACCAAGACAGTAAGTAGATAAGTCAAATTTGTTTTATTAAATATAATTATATTTTATATGTATTTAGATCAAACACACACCCTCCCACATATATACTGGATAACATTAAGGTAAGTTTTTTGTGTTGTGTACAGTTGATTATTCATTCGTTATTTTTCCTAACGGACGACTAAGATGCTCATTGAAGAGAAAAAAAAAATTCGCCAACTATTGACTTTTCTAAATTAAAACAATCAACATTATTGACGTCTATTTTTCCATTTATCTTTCTTCCTTCTTTTCTTTCTTTCTTTCTTTCTTATTCCCCACTCTATATATTACCCTTGAGTATACAGTTGATCCCAAGTCATTATTCGTTAGAAAAAAATACGATGGCAATAATAACAGAAACTCCTAAAGACTTTGTATTACATTAATTCATACATTTTGATCAAAGTTTTGAACTAATCTTTTTTATTTATATTATAGGTCACAACGATTTTGGCAGCAAGTGCATCGTTTCAATATCATATACAAACCATTACAACTCAATTTCTTATGGGAACATTGCGAAAGGAAGAATGGAAAACAAACATTCAAAAAATCATTGATGATTTCATAGTCACCGTTGATGAAGCAGCAACGTCATAAAAACTTAGACCTCCACCTACACAATAAGAAATAAAATAAAACTATTTTCAAGTAAACTTACGCTTCAATCTTTAAAATAGATTATTTGTTTAAATAAACATTATTCTTTTTTCTTCTATATTAAATATCTTTATTAACATAAAAACGAAATAAATAATTTCAAATTAATGAAAATCAATCATCGTTACTTATGTAATATAATAAAACATGAATACGAACACACTTTTTGAAAGTGTGAAAAAGCAATGAAATACTAATTATATAATTAAAAAAAATGTCTTCTCATATTTTAATAAGATTATTAGTTTTAATAAATTTGTAAACTATTTCTATGTCAGATAAGAACTGTTGTTTATTCTGATATTTATTGAATTCTCATAATAATTATTTATAAAAATTGAATTGAATTAGAAACTTATCAAAAAAATAATTTATATAAATCAACTTAAGATGTTTCTCAATTATAAACAAAATATTTAATTGATTTATTTTTAGAGATTTTATATGCTACAATATATAGTTTATAATATCTAATAATAGATTAGTTATCAGATCGATTAGTCTAATGATTAAGAACATGTTGCATTATACAATCATCGTTTCATGTAATTCTTTTTCTTCACTGGATTTTCAACAAAGATAACTTAAGGATATCTACTTGATAAAAGCCATTCAAATTTAATCATAGTTTTAAAATAGAATTTGTGTTGACAAAGAAAAAAAATAGTTTATAAGCGAAATATCAGTACGAGTTTTTTTATTTTGATTAATTTGGGTATTTTGACTGGTAAGTCTTATTATCACTCATCGAATCGTTGTGATAATGGCTGTTGTCCAGATGAATGAGAATATTTCGAACAATGCTGAGGATTGTGTTGATCGCGACATCTTGATCCATATCGACATGGTGTTTGTTCAGTAGGCGTTGCATGATCATTTCTTGATGCGTTTGAAGACGAACTTATGTTAACCTGTTCACCATGCGAATATTTTATTCGATGATGTTCAGCTGATCGTTGAGCACAATGCGTTTGATCGCGACATGGAAAAAGAAAGTCAGGAAGATCTGTATGTCGATATTCTGCTCGATGATAAGGATCGCCGAGACGTTTACACGATTTATCCAATGGACACTTCTCGACTCGACGTACTTCATGGGTCAAATGAGGTTCATTATCTTTATTTAAACATACTTCCGAGAATCGACAAGGATGAGAATATCTTTTACAATGATCGTTTGATGTTTGTCGAAGACAATTAACTGAATCACGACAGAGACTTAGTTTGCTCCGATCAGAATGAGCTCTTTGAGAGAAAACATTCGATGGCTTGTCATTTCTGGGTATTGGTGGAGAATGAGGACGATTTAATTGATGTGCTCTGGATTGATTCGAAGAACTATTCGTTGGTTGAAAATCTTTTTCAAAATGTGGATGTAAATCGTGTAATGGTTTAAAACAAACCATAAAATTTCGAATAGGTACCTGCTGTGAATTAGCACTAATTTGAACATAAACTAATTCATTCAAATCAAGATCCGATTTAATGAATTTATACGATATTTTTTCATCATTATAAATACTATTCGGTCCAGCATGTGTTAATGTTACTTCATCGGTAGATTTCTTCAATTTTAAACAGTATGTCAAATAATCATCAAGATTACATCCACGATGAAATGTACTTGAAGATGCCAGAAAAGAACGTTTATTCATAATAGTTTCATGTTGCAATGGATCATCAAAATTTAAATATGAAAATGATTCGCAATAATCATTTATTGTTGTTGATGGTGTTTCTGCAATATAGCATAAAAGAGATCGAGAAATGTTACAAGTATCAATCGGTTCATTTGATAATACCAACATCATATCACCATACATCGATTGCCAATAAATAAAAATATCATCAGATACAGAATCATCTGCTAATGTAAATGGAAGAATAGTATATTTCTTCAAATGGCTTGGTGGTAAAGTAATAATACTACCACATAATGACACTTCTTGTTCAATATTTTTAATAAGTTTCTTCATCAAATCATCTTTCACATAGTCCTGGTATTGATTTACATTGCGCGGTGTAATATGTAATGAATCGCCAAATATAGTTTTCGCTGACAGTTGAGCTGCTGATGAAAGAGAAGTATAAAGTGTATGTGGTATGTAAATTTCTTCGATGTAATCAAGATGAATTAATTCAGGCAAATGACATTCGAATAATTGATTCGAAGAAGTACACTTCATATACGTTAGAATTGTATTTAAGTCCATATCCATTGTTTTTTTTTGTCTTACCAGTTATAGCTAATAGTTCGGATGCTAAAGCATAATCATATCCTTGAATGGAACAATGTAATAACGATTTATGAAATTGTTCAAGCCGTTTTTTCGATGTTCCTGAATCTTTAATCCATGGTCGCTCAATAAAAGTCGTTCCATCTAAGAATGAATTTTTTGATTGAATCGATACATTTGCATCAGGATGATATAAAACATCTCGTTTAAATACTAGAACAATATCTTCAACATTATGATGTAGATTTGGTGCTAAAATTGCTGTGATATGTTTTTCGAATGCATCGTCAATATTCTTTGAAAGATTTAGTACTGCATCGATCATTTGTATAGTAAAATCACGAATCTTATCGATTTCATTACGAGTTAATATACTTTTTAGAAATTTCTCTTCTGTACGAATTGTATCATTGAAGTTTTCTTCAGGTGATGAAGATGAAGATCGCTGAAGTCTTTTATTAAATTCTGCACAGCTAATAGCTTGAATATAATTATTAATATGATCTTCATTTGCTTGATTTTGATTTGAAATAATAATTTTCTGAATAAATTTATTTTGTTGAATAGTTTGAATTACTACACGTGAATCCATTAATTGTTTTATATATTCAGTCGACATAACATGACCATGAAGAAGTATTAATTCAAATAATTCTTTTGAACATTGATAAATCGGTGATAAACTTTGCATACATTTAATGATTGATCGTGAAATAGAAAGTGGAGTTTTAAATTTCAAAGATTCAGCATAACGATGAATTGTTGTGATTATTTCTTGTTGATTTTGAATAAAAACTATCTCTTTATTGAGTCCATTGTATGGAATAACACTACTATGATCATAATTTCCACGATGTCGATATCGAGTAAGATGTTTAATTTGATCTCGATCTGAACACTCAGATCCAATATAATAACATAGACGACGAATGTCTGCTATACCTAAATGTGTAAATGAATACAGATGATTCTCTTGATTGATTTTTGAACAATTATTTCCGTCGGGACATATATCACGTGCAATATGAATTGTTGTTTCACGATGTAATCTCGATGTTTCATGACATTGACGACCAAATCGACAGATGTGTCGAAATTCACGACAATGATTTTGTACATCTGATGATAATGAAGCAATATTGGTCGATTCCGATAGTAAAATATATTGTCGACAATGAAATGGTGTCCATGGGCAAACTGGTAACAATGAATGATCATCATTACGACTATTAGATGCATTTGAGTGCTTAATTCGATGTGTAAATAAAATCATATGATCATCATCATTATTTAATTGACATATTCCTGAACTATCCATTAGCGGACATAATGGTGGATGAAGATATTTCTGACAATGTTGGTTATTTTCTAAATCTCGACATTGACCTCCATAATGACATGGAGATAAATCACAAATTTTAACATCACTTAAATTAATTTCTTTGTTGTTGGCTATATTTAATATACGCCAAGGTCCGATCATCATATTAACAGTTATATGTCTCATAGGTTTAACTTTTAAATTATGAAGTATATCTTGAAATGGTCGATAATTTCCATGTGGATTTAAATCTTGACCAGTATTATGATCATCAATAATTGCAAAACAAATTTTTCTAAAAAATCCTGCATATTGTTCGATGACTGATTTAAAAATCAATGCAATATGTTTAGGTGGATTTCGAAAAGCACCACAACCAAATGCAGATAAAACCAGACAATCATGTTTATGATGTTTAGCTATAGCAAAGATTGTTTCAATTTTCTTACGTGTACCAATCATATATTTTGATGTGAGAAAACTTTTATGATCTAGTTTTGGATTTCGATAAGCAGCTATAGCGATAGCACAAACATTGAACATAGGTTGTTCCATAAAAGCATAACCTGTATCTTCAGGTTGACGAAATACTGTTAATCCTGATGTATAAATTGCTCCATATTCATCCATTGGATACATTTTTTGATTAGTAGTAAGTTGTTCCAATTGACATCTTGATGTACAATAAAATCTAGGAGTTGGTTGTCCAGCATCGAGTTCTATATCAAGACTTCGATAATAATCCGAACGGCGAAAAATATTTTCTTCTTGTGCACCATCACCTTTACGATATCCGCCACCTGGTGAGTATGCATTTGCCATATTGAGAAGTAATGGATTGTAACCTCGAGAAAGCAATTGTTCGTGAACAATTAAACAATCTTCATTTATTACTTGAACAGATGTTGATTCATATGGATAATCAATTCCAATAGATGATGATAATGTTATTTCTTGTTGTAATTTCGATTGATGATCGTAGACTATAGTATTTAATTGATTTGGTTTTAATTGAATTTTTTTATTATCTATAGAATAATTTCCTTTTTCTACTATACCAATTGTATTTAACATTACTGTCATTCGTAACGAATGTCGCTTTTCATTACTTATTGTTTCTTGATGATTGTTATTTTCCGACGATCGACCATGAAATTGATCTAAAAATGCTTGACAATCCCATTTTAATCCGAAAATTCGATGTTCAGGTTGAGTAAAAAACTGCATAATATTTGATTTTCCATCTAACATTTCTGTTTCATACCAATTGACATTATTAATATCGTCATCTGTATTTTTGCTTGAATAAGAATTACTTGTAATATTAATAGTATGATTATCCATACGTAAAACACGTTGTTCTAAGCATTTTTCATAAACACTCTTACTCGACAATTCAACAATGATATCATTGTCACTTGGTTCAATTTTGATAATAGTACCATTAAAAATCTCTTGAGCTTCGATATGTGTTGGTAGTATATGCGAAGGTACTGAATGTAGTCGAAGAAAATATGAAAGACGATCTTTCCTTTTAAATACTTTTCCATCCAAATTTATTGAAGTACATCTTACAGATGAATTACATATCAATGCAACAGCACTGCCTTCTTGTATATCCAAAGAAACATGAATACGTGTTTTTGATCGATTAACTGGAGATATTTCTTTAAATATTGCCGCGTATAAGTCCTTCTCCGTAATATGTTGTGGTACAGTATCGAAAAAACAACAATCTGCGTGATAATAAACGATGGCTGTTTGATGTTCGATTTGGAACTCTTTTACAGATGTAATTGTAAATAATTCTTCAACTTTATCTATTATTATTTTAAATATATTTGGGAATTGACTCGATAATCGTTTACATTTCAATGGGGAGTTACCATTATAGATCTGCATCCATTGTTGACGCACATGTTTGCTACGTGGAAGATCACTATTATCTTTGGATGTCACAACCACATAGACATCTAATTCGAATTCATTAGTAAATGATATTGTTTCATCTGAGTTTAATGTAATTGATGTTTGACAAATAGTATTTACTAATTTATCTTTATCTTCTTTATTTTTTAGATACATAACACCAACATCGAATTGACTATTACATTTAATATCGATCACGTGTAATTTATATTGGCGATCTAATGTATGCCGAATTATCGTCTCAAGTTCCTGATCTGTAACTTCATTAGAAGGTAAATGAGGTATATAGGCAATATAGGCTTCATCTTCACTTGATAATTCATTATTTGATTGAGTAGCGAACATAGGTGGATGTGAATCATTTTGTTTGATGTCGTCATGTGAGTAATGAGTAGATGAGGATTGATTTTTTCTTCTAGGTTGAATGGCTCCAATGGGGCTTCCCGAATTGTCAGTTGTATTATTATCTTCTTCTCCATCGCGTACTTCCGCCACTGATGCGAGTGATGGCTTGCTCAATTCTAAAATTATATGATGTTAGATATTTGTATGTCATGTCATTCAGTATAATAAGCAGATTTCATGCTATTACGATACATACCGATTTCATTTGCTGTTGAGGAATCATCCTGTGAAGCTGTATCGAATTCTACTATAGAAATAATCGATCTTCTTATTTTTACAGGTGGTGGTTTGTTGTGTGTAATGGAAGTTTTTGTACTAATCGATGGTATTGATTCAGAATCGATCGATCTAGGAGCATTTTCATTCACTGATGACTGTCCTTTATTGAAATTTGTTTGAGACATATTTTGTGACGTTGATGAAGTAGGAAGCTCATTAGAAGCTGGAATATGTGTTTGTAGAATAGTTGAAGCATTGTCATGGTGTTCTTGCAATGTCTCACCAGTTTGATCTGCATTCTCATTATGCATATTTGATGCGCCACAATTCGAACATTTTCTGAACGGTATTTTTGGATATAGTGACGCACTGGATCGATTGGGTTCCTCAGATTGTTCTGAAATTTAAAGAAAAATTCATTTTTTTATTATGAAATTTTTTTATATCAATAAAACTATACACCATAATGTATTTTTTAATCATATGACTTAACAGATATAAGTACCTCGATTGTTTGCTGCATCGCAATCTTCGTCAGAACCTTGATCTATAATTAGTCTATCTCCTGATGGTGAATGATCATCTCTTTCATTCGCTGGAGTTCGTACTCGTTGCTTGTCCTAATTATTAGAAATAGAGAATATTTAAATATATTGTTGAACGAATTATACAGGAAGATCGAACGAAGGACTTCTTTTATTTCATGACGTCAAGAGTACTAATATGGATGAATGCAATTGAGTTGCATCACGTAGCAAAGATTAGAAAACAACGTTTCAATAAAAGTTATACTTACATTATTTACTTCCTTGTCTGGTTGTTGTGAAGTTTTGTCACGACGCGTCGACATTTCGACGATATTCTAATAAAAATAGTCGTATAATTTTATCGTATAACAAACTAATGGAATTCAAAGTCTATGAAGTAACCGGGAAAATAACCAATGTAAGTCGGTAGCTTCATAAGAAAAACATTTTAACAAACGTCTATACGACGCAAAAGTAAAAAGAATGAGTAATATGACGAGTTTTGTTAAACGACAGACTTGATAAACAGAAACGAAGAAAAAAAAATAAGACAGAACGAGCTAAAGAATCAACCACATTGACACGTTTTCAGCGAAAAATCCAAATATCGACTTTTTTTTTATGTTCGTCTATTATTATTTAAAGAATTCATATTAAACAGCAAGGCGTTTTTGTGTATATTATACAGAAAAATAAGTTATGGCACAATATAGTGATATTTGTAATTTGATTATATCATTGAATGCCGTCAATTAATTATAAAATAATTCAAGATTTATTGATATTTAGATGTATCAGAATCTATTCGGGTCAACGAGAGGTCAATGAATGTATCACAAGCTTGAGCGTGATTGAGGACGGAGAGAAAAACATACATCATCAGACATACACAGGACATAACTCTGATTATATTATTGTACTTTTAGTTGATTTTATCTGAGTATATTATTGAAGAGTGTCTTGTTCTTATTAAATTCGAATATAATGATTTAAAAAGAGAAGAAAATTTTGAACTAGGTTTTGGTCATGATTATACACTATTGAAGTAATTTCTATTTATATTGATGGTAAAAATACATCTAAGATAGGAAGAATTTTATATGAAGATAAAGAAAAAGAATGATTAGTTTCCCTTTTTATGTTCATGTTTTAGAATATTAAACAATGAATTCTGTGATAAGTAGTAATCGTATAATGGTTAATTTTGTTTCATTTATTGAAGCAAAAATACGTAATTTTATATTGTCTGACAATTTAAAGTTCTTCATCATACAAGTACTGACACTCACATTCACCCATCATCGAGAAGTTTAATAAATGCTTGGAAAGAAAGAGTGTAGGTGAAAAATAAAAAGCAAACTAAATATTGACAAAAATCTACACCCACACCATGTAAACACATGTTATTGTTGTTGTTACAGATATGTGAAAAATGTGTTATTTTTATCAGGTAGATAAACATTGATGAATGAGACACCACATGATATTATGAATATTATTTTTAAGTTGCATTAGATAATATGATTATCGAGTGAGAAGATGATATTTTTTTTTGAATGAAATAGATTCTTCTCCATGGTGGAACTTATAGCAAGGTTTCGTGTATAAAGCTTCGTTTGACGAGAATTTACAGAGATGATATTGATGCAAGTTGTCATAAGGATGAGAATATCAGATGATTATAAATACGACATCTATACTTGTCTTCTAAAACTCGTTGGAAGCTATCTAATGTATCACATTCAAACTAAAAAATCAGAACTTTGTAAAAATCTAATCTTTTATATTTTCTTTTCCTACCAATTAATTTTTTTTGTTTTTTTTATTTTTACAGTGATAGACTGGTCTTATGATATACTTGTTATCATAGTTGCAGCCATCTTGTATTATATAAAACAATTCTGTTATAATAAAAAATATGTCAACACACAATATGGTCTCCACGCAAACAGTTTATGATAGCTTATCTGTATATTTTTATTTGATGTTGTGTGCGAAAGAGTCGGTATTTTATAGCATCTCGATGGAGTTTTATAGAGAAAAAAAAATTCGTTCGTAATCGGCATTGTCTATTCTGCTGATTACAAAAAATCTCATGTATACTAAATAGATGATTTCTTTTCTTTCGTTTGTACCTCCAAAAAAACCGAATACTTGTTTTCCCTTATATACGTATAATATTGAGACCAAATATTTTATCTCACTAAAATATGTTACTTTGATGAAAAGGTTAATGCTAAAAATACTCTTTTGTTTCACTTTTCGAGTCTATCTGATGGATGCCAGAGATTTTCTCTTAACGGTCTTAGCTGCAGTATGTTTAATCTTTATCGGAAGACATATCATATATACAGGAAACTTTAACTACAAGTGATGCTGCAAGAAAGATGCCAAAATTCTATATCCATTAGACTCATTTTGTTAAAAGCTACTAGACGGCTTGTAGATATTTACTTGATAAGAATTTCACTCAATAGAAAATGGTATTCAAATAGAATAAATATTTATAACTTCAAGTGCTATTTACAGTTTTTATTATTATTGATCAATAGATTGAAAGAATTAGAATTTATTAGTTTGCACAGCTGAAGCTGGACGAACAAAGTCATTCTAGTGGCTTTTGTGTTTTATATATGTACATAAAATATAATGCAAGAACCAATTCTAGAGCACATATATTTAATAATGATGATTTTATGATATCATATAATCCACTCGTTCTTTACTCTGCCTAGATATATATTTATTATTTGCATTTTATATATTTTCTTGCTAATTTTAATTATCTGATAAAAAGTTAAAAGTCATGGAACATATTTCTCTGATTAGATATATTATTTTAACATTTAAAGTAAAGTAAAAGTATTATGTTTAGTAACTCAATTGTATAAAATTCAATATTTATGTATAGATAAATTTTTAATATCACAATAGTATATCATAATTCAATTCGATGAGTTCTAATAGTCTTACGATCATCACATTTAATTTGCAGAAAGAATCAAACAGACTAAACGGTTAATAATACTTCACAAACGATATTTCATAAGGGTTTTTTTCGACTAATACTGTAATTGCATAAAACCTACGTAACAAGCTATTACTTTCTCTTTCTTTTTATTGATGTCATAAAACTAAAAGATAATGTGACAAAAATATAATCATAAATAAACCCTGCACTTCAATATCAGCAGGTCTAAAGCGCGTGATACATCATATGTCTAAATAATAAAATTATGTTTGGTAAATATGTAACTAATCTCTCTAAATTGATAAGAACTCGTGTATATAAACCAGTAGAATAAATGCACATTAAACATTATTATTTCTTATTTCAATCATGAAAATCTTATTACTTATTCTTGCCATTTGTCCTTTGTACATCACTTATGGCCAAACATGTTATGGAAAATATGATACCACAATGACTGGAGAATGTTTATCGCCTGATGCTTGTGGAGGATCACTATTAGATGGAAGATCTTGTGAAGGAGGAACTTGTTGTATTTCTCAAACATTAACATCCACTGCAACGACTTGTATTACTGAAAAGGATTTCGCTGCTTTATATCCAACACCACGTGCTCCATGGCTTCGAGTAGCTTTGAACGCTGGCATGAATCTGGCAGGTATTTGTTCAAATTGTCAAGCAAAAGCTGCCTTTTTAGCTGTAGCTGCTACAATGACCAATGATTTTCAAATCGATGAATTACAAGGCACCGATGGTCAGTTTGCTGTCGATGATACAAGTTATGGAAATTTTCAGCCAGGTGATGGATCACTATTTCGTCAACGAGGTTTCTTTGGTATTCGAGGACGAACACAATACACACAATTGGCAGCATTAATGCCACAGTATGCAATTCTAGCTAATCCACAATTAGCAGCATTAATCAATATTTCAGCTCAAATTGCTGGTCAACGCTGGAAAACACCAAATTTCTTAACTGGTAAATTTAGAATCCTATTAAATTTTAGAAATTCAACTTAATATTAATCGCTAATTATATCCTCGACTATCTATAATTTTTTCACTTTATTTTTAGGACCAGCTTTAACACAATATGCTGATGGTACATTTTATGGTTTCTCGATGTTATGGTAAGTTTTATTTGATTTTATTATTTATTTCTAATTATATATTCTTGAAAAGGTATAATTTAACTGGTGGTATAGATAAACTATCAGATGCAACTTTACGATATGCAAAATTTCTTAATAATTCACAATGTGGTGGTGGTGAATTGTATCCTGGTCAAGGTCCGATTTGTCAATATAATACTACACATAAAGGTACGTGTACACCTGATTGCATACAAGGATTAGAAGATGGAGGTGAATATTGTGGTTGTAGTGGTGGAAAAGGAGAGCAATGCCCAAATAGTCCTCCACATGTTATATGTTGTTTGGATACATGTTCTCAGGAACTTAAATTGGATTTAGGCATTGTTATGGATTCTAGTGGTAGTGTAGGTTCTAGTAATTTCCAATTACAATTAACATTTGTAAGAGATTTATTGAGTAAAGTGAATGTTGGAGAAAATAAAACTCATGTTGGTATTATAAATTATTCCACTAACGTTCAAACATTAACAAATTTAAATAAAGAATATGAATTGCGTCAGAAAATTCAACAAGTTAATAAAGCTAACTTCATCGGTGGTAGTACAAACACAGCTGGAGCACTTCAACAAGCTAATACTGTTTTCTCACCTGCAAATGGTCTTCGGCCAGAAGGAGAAGGTGCTCAACCACTTATATTTCTTATTACAGATGGACAAAGTGATGATCAAACAGCAACAATTAATGCTGCAGCTGTTCTCAAAGACAATGGTATTCATATAGTTACTGTTGGTATTGGTAATAGTCTTGATCTTGTTGAATTAACTGCTGCTTGTACACCACCGGCTTACGAAAACTATTTTCCAATGTCTAATTATGCAGCACTCGATCAAAAAATAGCTCAGTTTACATCCAAAGTATGCTCAGAACCAGCTCCTATTCCAGAAAATACAACTGTGACTGGCGAATGTGGCAAAGATAAATATAAATTTTTGAAAATTAAAATTATCAAAGTTGGAAACAAATTTATGATTAAAATTAAATTATTCAATGGAAAAGTTAAAATATTTTTTTCATTTAAAAGCCGTAATCCAAAAGATCCAGCGGATTTCTTAACCTATAAACCAAAACGTTCAACAGCTACAAAAAATGCCCCAGTAGTAGATGATGAATCAGAATTAGTGCTTGATAAACCAAATGCAGATGTAGAATTTGTTTATTTAGGTGTTAAAGGTGTAGAAGACGACAATCAATTTGAAGTTAATTTTGATGATTGTGCAAATGTTTTTTGTAAATCCAGTGCATCAACAATGACAATAAGCATGGTATTAATTAGTATTTGCATTGCTCTTTTTTCATTTTAATTTAATATATTTTTCTGTACATTAAACTTGAAGTTATATAATAAATTGATTACACATTTTATGATACGAAATAATTGCTAGATCTTTAATTCAGAAGAGTGAATGTTGAGGCACTGGTAATTTCGGTATTTTCTACTTTCTCTTCTATTACAATCCATACTGACACTTCGCATAATATAAATCTTTTTTTTTTTGATAATGCTCGTTAAATTCATCTATGGTCTTTATACACGTGTGTTTTGTTTCTTTTCGGTATTTATATATGCTAAAATTTCTAAGATAAGAACAAAGAATTTTTGTTTATCACCAAACAACAGTGAATAGAAAAAAAAGGTAGAAACATTACATGTGACTTTTAGAAATGAATTTCTTGAAGAAGAAAAAATCCAGTTCGTCTAATAATCTCTCAGCTAGTAAAAACATTCGATAAGATAGACTCTGTTGAAGATGCACCACAAAACAACAGTCATAGAACAGAAGAAAACTTTGCCTGAATTCTTAGAGCGGATAAAGTCAAGTTTCAAAGAAACGATCCTACTAACAGGTACGATTGTGTTAATTGGAATTTTAGTCTTCTAAACAATGATCTGGCTGCAATATAGTATCTCAACTCGCACCGTACAGGAGATATTTAATTCGCTAATTTTTAAATCTATGACAATATGATGAAATTGAAAAATGTATATTTTATTTCGGTTATATAAGAGAGAAAAAAAAAGAATGCTTGTCTTAATACATATACACACAACAAAAAATAAAACAGGACAACACATAGAATAGTATATTATCAATTATGATGCCCATTTTTCTAATTCAGCTAATTCATCATTCTTTGCTTTGCTTGATACTTTCGCTGCTGGTTGTGCATAAGCTGGAATTGAATGAGCTGGAACTGTTGGTAAATCAACACGAGTCATTTGATCTGAAAGTGCTTCTTGTTCCAATGCTGCTAATTCATCTTCTAATTCTCGTTCATCAATATCAGCACCGAAACCAACTGGACTTGATATAGCACTTGCAATTTCATTCGATAATTCATGTTGTTCAGCTAATTCATCCATTATATCTTGTACACTATCAATATCAAGTTCTTTATGAACATTTTTTAATGCACTTGTAGCACCTTGAAGCGCACTAAATGCTTGACCATTCATAGCTGCATTCTAAAAAGAAATCAAATAGAATTCTAATTTTTTTATTATTAAGAATAAAAGAAATTTACTTGTAACGCTTCACGTTGATATTCAAGCGTTGTTAATGTACCATCGATTTGTTGTAAACTTTTTTCTAAACGTTTTTTTCTTTTAAGTGCATTCAAAGCATTTCGTTTATTTGTTCGTGCATCACGACGAGCTATAGCTGTTTCTTCGTTGATTTTTGCTTCTAAATGTTCGACCTTTTTATTAAGAACATCTTCCACATCACGTAACTGTTGAATTGCTTCTTGTGGAGTTTGAGCTGTTTTTGGTTTACCACCTTTTGAACCACCGAACATACGTGATAAAGCACTACCTTTATTGTTACTACTCATTTTGTCAAATAATATTTAATAATCTTGTGCGAATGAATGACAATGATTAATTCTATGATAACAATAAATAGTCGTATATGAATGTTTCATACTCATGACTAATGTTTTTTCTTTCTTTATTGGAGAATCGTCATATCAGAGAGAAAATTAAAAAAATAGATGTCGTTCTAATACACCAATAGATGCTTCATGAAATTTATAAACGTTAATAAGAAACAGCACACAGAAGATTGAAGCGTAGATTAATTTTGATATTATCTTGGATTGCGTTAGCCTTATATACGTTTTCCAATTTTTATAATTAATCAACATAAAAGTGCTGATATAATATAATTTTTAATAAATGTGAAATGCAATCATTTTATTGGAAGCCCAAGAAAAGAAGTGATAGAAATGTTTGTAAACTGATCACTTTTTATTTAAATGAATTTTTTTATATATGCGCAATTGTAACGCATAGTCTATATTTTTTTTTATAAATTTAGTATTAAGTTAAGATATTTTATATATGTTAATAATCAAATGTATGTTGTCGAAAGGTCTTATTTTCATATTTCAATACTACTGATAGAATATTCTGATTATATTCACCATGATTCACTATTTTTGATGAAAAATAATTCAGAATGTCATATTTGTAAACGAAATATTCAACTAAATCATTATCTCATAAGAAAAGTTGTAACCCGCATGTTGATATAATATCATTCAAGTATTTCAATACAGTTGACCGGTACTATTGAACATTTTTCGTATGTGTTTTGTGAATTCATCGACGAATTTAGATACTGTTGATATGTAAACAGTATTTGTTTATTATGCTTTTATAAAATACAATTAATACGTCACCATTTTCATGCTATAACTCGGTGAATTGACATCGTATAATTGAGTAATTTGCATTACTTATGTCAATAGAAAGATTATTGAAAATCGTTTTTTGAGTAATTATTTGATTTGAATTCGAATAAAGGTCAAAATTTCTTAGATTTTGACATATTCAAATTCGAATTCGACAATACAAAGCGATGATACTGAGAAATTATGATATATGTGTAGAAAATAATTCTATAGATCTAAATTCAAAACTAATCTATTGAGCTTGAGAAAAAAATTTAAATAAGTTTACTTGGTAATAATAAATAATTCTCGATTATTGCAGAAGATTGATGCTTGTACATTTTCCATATTTATCACTTTTGATTTCATCTAATAATTTTTTAAAATATAAAACTATGCATTGAATCGATGAAGAAAAATTTGATTTAATCTCTCTTGAGTAAATACCAATTGTGTTATACTATAATTATAGAAGTATTTACATCTGCACTTACATGGGTGCTATTTTTTTCTTCAGATGTCATGCCTGCTCTACTTCACATGCATTCACCTCATGGTGCTGCATACAGAGTTTATTTTTGTGTATATTGTCACACAAAAGAAAAAAATTACCTGGATTGAAAATAACGAATAAAATATTGCAATTTTGTCATGAATGATTCGGTTTTTTTTGTATCAATAAATATTTAATCGCCATATGTTTAATATTTGTTGGTAACCGAAAAAAATAAATCGACTACACCTAGTTATTACCTATGAAATAACTATATGAAAATAAATAAGAATAAAAAGCATGACCTGAAAACATTAATTTAATATGTCA